CAACTTTCAGCAATTCCGGTGAAAAGAACTGCGGCCGCTTCGGACGAGCTTTGTTCTTTTGAGGTTTTATGTTTGGGTTTAAGCTAGGAGCAGTGCGACATGCCTTAACCTCAGGGCATGTGGTGAATCGAACTGTGCGTTGGCCATTTTGGCTTAAGCCTTGACCCAAACCTGCGGTTTCATTTCGAAACAAACGCCGCCATGGACGCCTTGCTGTGTTTTGGAATGAGCCTTGCCGTTTACACAGCCCTTGTGTCCGGCTTCACCTGCCTTGCCATCTGGTGGCTGCTACGCCAGTACAGCAAGGCCTTGGGTCCTTTGTACATCCTGCCAAAACGCAAGGTGTTTCACCATCGGCAGTGTCACCTACCATGTGCTAACGTGAAAAGGTGACGCGACACCTCCGGGGTTGTTGCCTGCGCCGCGAGCCCTTGGCAACCGAGGCTCCTCCGGAACCCGCACTGGTGCACTGAGTAGTAAGGAAAGGGGGCCTATAGTAACCTAATTATTTTCGTTTTTGGGTCCCAAAACCCTGCAAAACAGCCAAATTCTTCAACCCGCTGAACGTTTTTCCGATGTCACCGGTCTTTGTCACCACTCCGTTTTTGGTGCAAAAAGCGCTGAAAACGGCGAGCTCCGAAAAGTGCGTTTTTCGTGTCCTGCGTCAAAAGTTCTGCCTGGGCCTCCAAATTCGCTCGTTTTCCTCCGAAAACCGGCTCCAGGTGTTCGCCATGCTCCGAAATCCGTATTCTGCCTCGAAAAACCTGCGAATTCCAGCCCGCTGAGCTTGTCACCGCCGAAGTCACCGGTCTCTAACACGTCAGCCCGCCGAGGCACAGCCCAGAGTCAGCCAGTGTCTGACGCGGCAGCCCGCCGAGGTGCTCCCGAGTAACACGTCAGCCTGCCGAGGTTCTTCCACGTAACGCGTCAGCCCGCTGAACTCGTCACCGCCGATGTCACCGGTCTCTAACACGTCAGCCCGCCGAGGTCCCGGGGAGGAATCGAACCTCCGAAACGTCGCTACGGAGAGCAACGCCTAAGCCATCTCACGTTACCTGTCCAAAACGTGCATGGTGACTCTAGCATCTGCCCTGCCAGGTACAACCCCACTCTGAAGGGCGGGTGATGAGGCCTTCGGCCCAGCTGGTTCGCTTTTACCGGGGTTGCCTGAAACACTGAAGGGGGGGTCAATGTGCCTCCTGCTCCAGGCGCACTAGTGCCCTGGAAGCAGTGCAACTTTCAACAATCCCGGTGAAAAGAACTGCGGCCGCTTCGGACGAGCTTTGTTCTTTTGAGGTTTCATGTTTGGGTTCAAGCTAGGAGCAGTGCGACATGCCTTAACGCTTAGGGTTTCTTTTCCCTTGTGTTTAGGGCATGTGGTGAATCGAACTATGCGTTGGCCGTTTTGCTCCTAGCCTTGACCCAAACCTGCGGTTTCATTTCGAAACCCACCCACCCACCCTGCATTGCCCTATGCCAGGCTTTGCCAGGATAGACGGCAGTTTCTCTGCACTTTCGTGGGTCGCCTCCGGGCACCGTGGTCTCCGGACTAGGTCTCCGGACCAAAATCGGTCTCCGGACCTCGAGTCTCCGGACTGTCGGTCTCCGGACCTTGGGGCGTGGGCACGCGTGCCGCGCCCCCCCCAAGCACTGCATTTACCCGCAAGGACACGCATTGTCTTGCCTTTTAACATTTCGGGGGGTCAATGTGCCTCCTGCTCCAGGCGCACTAGTGCCCTGGAAGCAGTGCAACTTTCAGCAATCCCGGTGAAAAGAACTGCGGCCGCTTCGGACGAGCTTTGTTCTTTTGAGGTTTCATGTTTGGGTTCAAGCTAGGAGCAGTGCGACATGCCTTAACGCACAAGGCTTGTCAGCACGCGTTTTCGCTGATGCCGTGCTACAGAATGCTCCAAAGTAGGCGCATGCTCCTCCTTTTTTCCATCCCCTGAGGCCCAAAAGCAGAGCCTCGCCTTCAGGCTCGCCGACTTAGCATGGCCGGCCTGCGCCCCGGCATGCTCCTTTGTTTTTTCACAGGTTGCTTGCATGGTTTTTTTCCCTCCAGCTCTTTTGTTGCACGCTGGCCAACGCCCGAGTGCCAGATATGCTAGCCGAGCATATCCTTGGTCTCGGTTTTGAAGATGTCGCCGACTTTGCATATGCGTACTCAGACACATCCGACCTGAGTACGCTGCTCGATGATGTGCCTGCAGAGATTTGGACCGCGTTGGAAGTGGCAGATTATGCACACTCCATCCCAGCCGCACGCATTAGGAAAGCATTCGATTTTGCCAGGGCCGCGTCAATGCAAGAGATGCATGCACACATGCCCAAAGCAGTAGGTTGCCCGCAGCGCATCCTACAGCAACCAACGCCTTCGATTGTTTAACGCCTCACAGGTAACACACCTGGCGCTTGGTCGAACACGCTCTGTTGAGCGCGGGGGCATTTGAGAAGGCTCCGCAGGGGGGTGCAGACACGGGGAAAGGACACGCACTGTCTTTCCCCCTGCACCCCCGAGCCTTGACTTCCAAGCAACGCCTTATGAAGAAAAAGAGCAAGCGCACCTTTTATCGGTCGTTCTCTTTTGTCTCTTGATGCATCTTCCCTTACGGATTGAAGCAGTGATCAAGATTCTAACCGTTTCTTTCCCCACACCTCACCCCTTGCCGTGTCTCAGCTTGACTTTGCAGGACGGCCGCTGAGTCAGAGAAGATGAAGAAGCAGCAGTCAACCGTGGCAAATCCAAGCCGAGCACTGGGATCCGATGCCTTTCAAACCTGCCGTCGCCCAGCTGTCCGGGCAGACTGTTACGAATTCATGTTACCAGCTGGAGCTGCTGGAGCCGCATAGTTTGAGCCTCAGCAGCGCAGCAGTGTTCTACACTTGAACTCACTTGCGTCGTTGCGGACTTTTGACGTTCTCGACTGCGGCCCAGCAAGTACTCATTGTTTCACCTCGAACAGAAGAAGCAGGGACAGGGGCTTTGTCGCATGTGACTTTGCTTGACTCTTGAAGGGTTAGGGAGGTCAATGCTCGCTTTTGAACATCAGGCTGCGGTGTTCAAGACAAGCAAAAAATGTGCGTGCAACAGGTACAGGACCAGCAACGCGCTGGTCAACAGCTGTTTCACCGAGGCATTCCTCCTTGTGCCTAAGTGCGCAGATGCAGTACGAACCATTTTCAGAAGTGCGGAGGAAATGATTGCGCTCGTGGCTTGCCAGTTTGATCTTTTTGAGGCAACTTGTGCACACTTGTTTGATGCTATTTGTTGAGCGTGGCGCTCAGAGAAGCTTGTTGAAAAGCAGATGCGCACTGCTGCGAGGCGGCATTGCCTTGCAGGTGGTTCTCGGCAAGCAACGTGATAAGTGCGCCCGTGTCCACTGGCCCTGAAACTGGTAAGCTTCGAAATCAAAACGATCGTCCATCCGACTGGAAAGCAACAAGCACATCCCAAGGCCAAAGAACAAGAGCTTTTGCTCAAGGGCGCGTCAGCTTTCATCAAACGCGTTGCTCCAAAATGGGCTCAAACGCTTCCATGTGAAGCTTGATGCACTTTAAGCAACATTTGCAGCGACATGATACGAAACTGACAAAAATGGGCGGAAACTGCAAACTGACGAAAACGGTCGGAAGCTGACGGATCACGACCGTAAACTGACGACAGCTGACGGATCACGACCTTAAACTGACGAAAACGGGCGGAAGCTGACGGATCACGGCCTTAAACTGACGAAAACGGGAGGAAGCTGACGGATCACGACCTTAAACTGACGAAAACGGGAGGAAGCTGACGGATCACGACCTTAAACTGACGAAAACGGACGGATCACGATCTTAAACTAACGAAAATGGGCGGAAGCTGACGGATCACGACCTTAAACTGACGAAAACGGGAGGAAGCTGACGGATCACGACCTTAAACTGACGAAAACGGACAAATCACAATCTTAAACTAACGAAAATGGGCGGAAGCTGACGGATCACGACCTTAAACTGACGAAATCGGGCGGAAGCTGACGGATCAAGACCTTAAACACGAAAAACCGACAAAATGCGCCGCTTCACGCTGGCTTGTGCAACGTGCGACCTGGAGGACTAGGAAACTTTCAAGAAGCGCTGGATGAGAGATCAAGGGAGAGATCTACCTTCTGCCGTTCGGAGGTGTATCACACCAGTGATGTGTGCAGGCACCTGTGGAAGAAACGCCCTGTGACAAGGCGGGTGTGTCAGGACTGTCAAGGCTTGGGCCACGGCCGAACATCGGGCAAAACGCCCACCGTTTTTCCCGAAGGGGGGTGCAACAGTGTAGTACCACATGTACACGAGCATGTACCCGACAGCCTTTTACATCGATGAAAGGAAAGGGCGCCTCCGCTGCAATTTCCGATGCCCAACCATCAACAGGCTGCATGCCGCGATTGATTGTCAACCTTGAATCCCCAAAGGTAGATTTCACAAACCAAACGGATCAATCCCGTTGACTATGACAATTTTGGCGCATTGTAACGTGAGGCCCTGCAACTTTCTGGGAAAGTGCGGACACGTTTGGCATTTGTCGAAAACATGCGTTCCACTTGGGCGAATGCCTCTGTTCACAAGCTACTTCTTTGTAAAGTTTTGAAACGTTGCCCTTGTTTGGACCGAAAGGGACGTTTGGCATGAAGGGTGGTGCGGCTTGCTTCGCGAAGCTGAGGCGGTTCATGAGCTGTACACACAGCCGATACAACAAGCTGACGATGGCAGATGTGCACATTCAAAAGTACAACAGCTGTGAATTGCCATATTCCATCTGAAATCGCTGAATCCGTTCAGTTCGTTTGTTTGTGGTTTCGGCTGAAACACCCTCATTAATATTTGCACAATCGCACGTTTTCCAAGACTCACCAAACCATTCAGAAGTGTTTGCTCAAAAAATTGCATTCTTTGGGAGGCATGCAGGGGGCAGAGGTGCCATCATCAAGAACAAAACTGCACCAATCATTGAACAAGGAGTGCGAGACATGGCGCGATGGCATTGTGGTATTCCCTTTCTGCTTCTGCTGCTTGCAGTTGCAGCGAGCTTGAAATGGTGGATGGACATTTTGCCTCTGGTGTTGCCCCATTTGACCGTTTCACGCAACGATTCCAACCAATCAATTTCTGAACTCGAACTCGGGTTTGGCCAAATGACTGCGCCGGACGGGGACGCCAGCGGCGTGCTGGAGAGTCTGCTGCGAGCAGCTGCGCCGTTCGTGTTGGTGCTGCAGGCCAACGTGCAGGGAGGCACAGCGACTTTTTTGAAGTCCGTGTTGAATCCCGACTGCGTGGTGGTGACGCCCATCCTGAACATCCCCATCGTATCGCGCTACAGCCTGGCACCCACGACCGACAGCCTCAAGGTGAAGGTGGGTAGTTTTAGCATCACCTGTACGTCCAGTGAGCTGCTCCTCACATTGCGCAATTGCACATTTAGCAAGGTCTTCATCAACCACCCGCTTGGATTCTCGCACAGTTTTATCACTGGCTTGTTTTCCATGCAGAAACGATTCATCTCAATAACACACGACTATGTCTGGGTCTTCGACAAGGTTCAACCCACTTTTTCGGACTTGCAGACAGCAGAGGGAGGGAGAAGGAATTATGCATTCAAGGAGCTGCTTCCGAAACTTGAGATGAAAACGCAGACCATGGCCACTAGTCAGAATTTTGCACTTTTTGACCACTTCAAGTCGCTTCAGGCTGTTCCCATGCCGGATTATCACTCCAGCGAGGGCCAACCCACTGCTGCATCAAAGGATCTTGTGATTGGCGTGATTGGGGATGTGTCTTGGATCAAGGGGTTGGAAGCTGTTCTGCAGCTGTCGCGCCTCGTTCCAGACGGAGGCAAGTGTGAAGACATGTTTGTTGGTTCTAGCTACATTCAGCTTGGTCAATGGCGAATCGCTCCAATGGATGACATGCACTTATCCATATCACATCAGAAGGGGCAAACTCCATTGATTTTCAGGTCAGACGGCACTATGCACATGGGTCCTCGGACAGATTACAATGCTTGGACTCGTGATGGCGCGTGTTCAGAGCTGAGCGTGACTTCTGGCCGTGATTTTGTGCAGATAGGGGACTGGCGCATGGGAACAATGTCTCAGCATTTTGTGGTGTCGCACAGATTGAATGCTTCACATCCAAGCGTGCTAACAAACGGGAAATCGAAGCGCGCAGACAACTTCGCACTCAATATTTGGGTTCTGCCAGCGGAATCTTCAAACGTGGCTTTTCGGGCTGACTCTATGCAGATAGGCTCCTGGTCATTGTTTCAGACTCCCCAAGCTTTCGCGATCCTGGACAGCTTTGGGGAGGCTGTAACTTTGAAAGCTGATGGCAGTGCTGCACAGCATGATGCTCCGTTTGGCCATTTTAAGTGGCAACCAGCTGAGCAGCGTTGCTCATTCCCATCGAGTCAGGTGAAGGTGGTTGTGTTTGGCAATGTTGCAAGCATGTGCCATGCGGGTGGCAACTTTCACAAGCAGGCTTTCGGCAACATTAGGGAATTCAATGAACTTCTCCTGCGTGTGAGGCCCAATGTACTTCTCATACCAGCTATTTGGCCAGAGACATATTCCTATACACTGACGCTAGCCATGCTCACGAACCTTCCTATCATTGTGCGACAGTCTCACGTCGACTTCCGAGCAGCGATACTTGCCCGTGCACAGGAGTATCCAAGAGCGCATTTCCATGATTTCAATGACATGAATGGGGTCTTGGCTTTGGCGAATCGCGTCAAAGGTGACACATTTACACAGGTCAATCCTGAATTGGTTCTCCCGCAACAATGGAAGTATTTGCTGACCCCATCGCTGTACAACGTGGTGTTGGTGGCCTCGAAGATTGTCACGAGTCCTTACCTCAGCTTGGCTACGTAGTGGTTGAACTCATGCCGCCTTGTCAGGTAGGTCGCAATCAGCATACTTCATTTTTGTCGGCAACACATGCGTTTTGTTCGTGTCTGGACTTCGAATTGTATGCTCTAACTCATACATGCACTGCATTACGCACCCCACGCCGTGATATTGATTCTTGGCCCTCCCCCCCAGAAAATGCTCTTGACTGCAGATTGCTTGTGCGTCAGAATGCTTGACCCCACGTGGGGCAAGGGGTAATCTCGTGGCACGCAAGAAGGCTCGGAAACTAATTTCACGATCAGAAGAATGTCAATCTAATGGTAAGAAGCAAAGCAATGGAAGTGCTGGCAAATGTATCCAGAAAGGATTACACTGAATAGCACGCGCTAAGGCCCCTTTTTCTATGTAATGCTGAGCAAATACAAGAAACGGTCAATGGAGCACAAAGGCAACAACAAACAGACACAAATGTCTTTTGACCTCCAGCATCTAGTTACTGTATTCCGTAGCCATTTAGCCTGAATTAAATCCTCTTTCTTTGGGATTCGGCTGTTATCTGTCGGTAGCTAGTTGCTGGTAACGTCACAGGGCGCCTGTGCACGGTTTGCAATTTTGCAGAGAAAGCTTAGAGTCACTGAGTATCACGCAGGGTGGAAGCGGGGCTGTTGGGGAGTGGGGCGAGGGTGGCGGGGGGTATGGTTGCGTTCATGAGATAGTTGCGTTCATGACGGATTGTGGAGCATGCATGGTTGGAGATTGCGGTGACCACGGCTAAGACTAGTTCGTTAGGGCCTGCCGCTAGCTCTCCTTCGTATGGCTGGCAGTGGCAGTCCACAGCAACTTCGTGTCCTTGGTTACCTTACTTCGCAGCATATTTCTGGAAAATAGCGGTGTTGCTCACTTCGAGGATGCCGGTGAAAGCCCCTGGAAATTCACAAAGGTGTCGCAGGAGCGGGCGTGTCGCTACCCACAGGCACATCTTTTTGTGAATATGTAAAATGGGAACATTTCAGCATGTCAGCTGGAAAGAACGGTCGGTCGAATTGTGTTTTGGCCCAAGTTCCCCTTACTGCTCCTCGCAATACACACTCCTGGAGAGGGAAAAGGTGCGCGGCTAACACCGGTTGGGCGATAAAGGTGTGAGACCCAGGGTTGAGCGGCCTTGCCGACATCCACGACGCACACAACCAACAGCAATATGTTGTAGAGGCCAGCCGACAGCCGAAAACTGCCACGTCTGCAGAGAGCGCAGCGCATGGACAGAAGTTGGCAAAGATCGACGACTTTCAAACCAAGACTGCTGTCCAGTTTGCTTGATTCTTGGTAGAACTAGCTGCTGGGCAGAAGCGCGTAAGTCGCCTGTGCGCGAAACACACTCACCGCTACATTTTCCAATGGGGTTTGCGAAAGCCGTCTTCGTGGCCTCTGGAAAAATTATTTGGCCTGAGTAGCTCTGTGTGTGAGACTTCTGCCTAGCTCTCAGAAAAGAAAAGCATCATATCTATGAGGTAAAAAATCTGAGGCAAAATCTGAATCTTATCTGATCTCAATGATTGCTGCTTGGAAAGCCGGATTCTATCGAGTGTGCTTCCAGTAGTAGGAGTAGTCTGAGTTCCAGTCAGTCCATTCTTGGTCGCTAGTTCTTCCGGAGAAAACTGGTGTCAATTGCGCAAGTGCAGTTACACCGAGCAAGTTACACCAGCAAGTTACATCGGAGGTCGCTAGAGCAAGCTACACGAGAAAGACACACCAGGAGGTTGCAGGGCAAGTTGCACTAGCGAGTTGCATGAGAGATTGCTTGAGCAAGCTACACTAGCGAGTTGCATGAGAGATTGCGTTAGCGAGTTACATTACCGAGTTACATGAGAGATTGCCTGAGCGAGTTGTACAAGCAGGTTACATGAGCGAGTTACAGAGGCAAGTTACACCAGCGAGACACACGACACGAGAGGTTTGCAAAGCGAGTTACACTGAGCAAGTTACAGCAGCGAGTTACATCGGAGGTCGCTAGAGCAAGCTACGTGAGAATGATACACCAGAGGGTTGCAGAGCAAGTTGCACTAGCGAGTTGCCCCTAGATTGCTTGAGGGAGCTACAGAAGTGAGTTACATGAGAGATTGCTTTAGCGAGTTACATTACCGAGTTACATGAGAGATTGCTTGAGCGAGTTGTACAAGCAGGTTACATGAGCGAGTTACACAAGCAAGTTACACAAGCAAGATACACGAGAGGTTTGCAAAGCGAGTTACACTGAGCAAGTTACAGGAGCGAGTTACATCGGAGGTCGCTAGAGCAAGCTACATGAGAATGATACACCAGAGGGTTGCAGAGCAAGTTGCACTAGCGAGTTGCCCCTAGATTGCTTGAGGGAGCTACAGAAGTGAGTTACATGAGAGATTGCTTGTGTGCGAGTTACACTAGCAAGGTACATGAGAGATTGCTTGAGCGAGTTGCGCAAAAGAGAGTTACATGAGATTGCCTGAGTAGTGTAGTCAAGAATTCACCCGTGAAAGAAAGAAGTAAAGCTCGACAAGTATATATTACTCTTTTAAGGCGGCGGGGCTGCACCAACTTGTCGATCGGGAAATTGACCCTCTGCGTGGATCGGCGTGGTCGATGTTAAGAAACTGAGGACATGTGCTACTTTTTCAACATTCCCGATCGACCCTCTGCGTCGATGTTAGAACACTGAGGACTTTTACTACTTGTCAACATTCGCGATCGACCCTCTGCGTGGACGGCGTGGTCGATGTCAAACACCTGAGGACTTTTACTACTTTTCAACATTCCCGATCAAGCCTCTTCGTGGATCGGCGTGGTCGATGTTAAAAAACTTTTACTACTTTTGATCAACCCTCTTCGTGGATCGGCGTGGTCGATGTTAAAAAACTTTACCACTTTTCAACATTTCCGAGCGACCCTCTGCGTGGATCGGCGTGGTCGAGGAAAAAACTGAGGACTTTTACGATTTTGCGGTCCGCGGACCAACCCTCTGCGTGGATCGGCGTGGTTGACTTTTGTGAGGATAAATGCGATTTTTTGGTCGGGAAACGGGCGCGAAAGTGTGTCTCGTGGTTTGCGCTGCTTGTCTTTGGAACCGGTCCGGCGACTGTCTAGGCTTGGCAGGAAGAATCTGGCGAGACTGCGCAAGTCAAGTTGTGCAAATGCAGGCTTCTGGATGCAAGTCGTACCAGCAAGTTGTAGCAGATTTTGCTACAGCAAGTTGCAAGAAGCAGACACGCCAGAGGAGATGCAAGTTGCGCATCCAAGTGGACAGGCAAAGCAAGCCTCTGAGTTCTGACAGTGCTCCTGGTGTGGAGGAAATGGAAAAGCTTGCAGCTGGAAAACTGTTCCCGTTGGCTGTTTGGCGGCAGCCGCAGGTCCATAGGCACCGCCGCGTTGTCGTCAGCCGCGCGCGCTTCCTGCGCAAGCATGGGTTTCCCTTCCCACGCGAGTCTTTTGGCCCAAGCATCAATTCAGGCTTATCTAGACACACATATAAGAATCCGATCCAAACGAAGCTGTATATATTCGCAACACTCTTCAGCTTCCCAGTTCTGCACCGATGAGCAATAATGCTGTCTGTTTTATTTGTCCATCTATCTGTCTATCTATCTATCTATCTATCTATCTGTCTATCTATCTCTTTTTATCTATGTATTTATCTATGTATCTTTTCTTTGTATCTATCTATCTCTCTTTCCATATCTCTTCCTATCTATTAATCTTGCTTTTTATCTACCTATCTTTCTGTTTTCTATTTATCTATCTATGTTTTTTCAAGTATTTATTTAGCTGTCTGTCTGTCTATCTATCTATCTATTTATTTGTCTGCTTGTCTGTCTGTTTGCTTGTCTGTCTGTTTAGCTGTGTAACTTTTTTAAAATCTATCTGTTCTCGATTTACCCATCTATCTATATATCTACTGTCTATCTAATTATTTATCCAACTATCTATCCATCTCTTTTCCTTTCTATTTATCTATCTGTCTATCTATCTATCTATGTATCTATCTATCTCCTTTTATCTATCCATCTACTTGTCTTTTTTCTTCCTTTTTTATCCATCTCCTTGTCTATCTATCTATCTATCTATCTATTTCTCTTTAATTGCATATTATGTAACTGATTATTAATTCATTTATTTATTTATTTGTTATTTCTTTATTTCGTTACGTATCTGTTTATCTATTTATATCTTTTTCTAAATCTATCTATGTATTTCTCTATTTATCTACATCTTGCTCTGTCTCTACTTTATTTATTTGTTAATTCATCTATATATCTATCTATCCATCTATCTCTCTTTTTAATCAATCAATCTATCTGTCTGTCTGTCTATTTATGTATCTCTTTATTGGTACCAGAACTTGCGCAAGTGCTGCGCCTGCCAAGAGACCTGTGCTTGACCTTGCGAAAGTGCTGCGCCTGCCACAACATCTGTGCTTGACCTTGCGAAAGTGCTGCGCCTGCCACAAAATCTGTACTTGGCCTTGCGAAAGTGCTGCGCCTGCCAGAAAACCTGTACTTGACCTTGCGAAAGTGACGCGCCTGCCATGAAATCTGTACTTGATTTTGCAAAAGTGCTGCGCCTGCTACAAACTCTGCACCTGACCTTGCAAAAGTGCTGCGCGTGCCACGCACTTCAATGTTGCGAAAGTGCTGCGCCTGCCACGAAACCTGCACCTCACCTTGCGGATTTGCTGCGCCTGCCACGCAATTCAATCCTTGCGAAACCTTCGCGTTGCCGTGCCAATGGGCCCGAGCTCCGAGAGTGTTCCGAGCCCGCTCCGAGCAGGACTTGAAGCCTGGCGACTACACCATGGAAGAGATACAAAAAACAAATGGCGGTGTACAACCGCTTGTATTATCTTAAGAACCTACAGAAGGAAGGATTGATGGAAATCTACATTGAACAAAAAAGCATATTGCCAGAAAGCCATAAAATAATACATAGAAAGCAACGTATAGATATCAATGAAATAAGACCCTCAGGCATTACTGGATAAACTCGCAGAATGAAATGACCAATTATGGAAAT